TTTTTGTTACTCCTAATGTAGTGTGAGTAGATGCATTTTAAAATGACTGGAGGATTATTTATTGTTTCTACTAAAGAATTCTATAAACATCAGGGATCTTCTCACTTGCTGTGAGTAGTGAGAAACTTGAAAACTTTCCTCCTGAAATCTGACAAATCCAAATTTTAAAATACCCTAAGATCATGTTCACATTATGGATATGCTATGATTGTGTATGTCTGAGTGAGTTCATCTGTGTATGCTTGTTCAGGCTGACCCATAGCTTTTGTATCACAAACAGTTCACATTGACATATAAGATTTAATGTATTCTTAAAATTATTATATTGAGCCTGAACTTTTTCTTTTTTTTTTTTTCTTTTTTTTTTTTGGGTCCGGTCATGGGGCCTGAACTCTGGGCCTGGGCACTATCCCTCAGCTCTTTAGCTCAAGGCTAGCGCTCTACCACCAGGGCCTCAGGCATGCAAGGCAAGCGCTCTACCACTGAGCCACCTTCCCAGCCCCTGAACTTTTTCTAGGAGGTATTATTCTTCTGAAGAAACCACTAACAATCTTAATAATTGCATGTAATAAAAATGTATGTACATAATTTCACAGACAGGGAAACTGTAGTCACTAAATACAATTTTGACATGTAAGTTACAGGGTGTCATCTAATGTGACTTATAACTTAATACAGATGTTAGCATTTAAAGATTTAAATGTTATGATACAAAGAATTTTATTGCACGTAACTGGCAAAGTGGTAATATGCAATAGGATCAAATGGTATCTTACCTATGTCTCATAGATCACTAATCTTCCCTATGCCTAATAGACTGTCTTGCTAGTGTGCTGAAACACAGTGGTGTGAAGCTTATGAGAACTCCGTATATTCTTTATTCTTATAGACAAAAAGAAATTGGAGAGTTCTGAAATACATTTTTATAAAAATTCTGAGGAATAGTTTTCACCATAAATAAATTGTATTCTATCCAATATAAATATAAAAGCTGCAATGTTTGCTTTTGCATTTCTCATGTCAGCTTTTATTCCCTTGCTCTACTTGCTTTTAGGGGCTACCACTTTGACCCCCCAGTTCCTTTTCTGGTGGTTAACTGGAGATAAGAGTCTCAAAGAATTTCCTGCCTGGGCTGGCTTCGAACTGCAATCTTAGCCTCTTGAGTAGCTAGGATTACATGCATAAGCCACCGGGATCCAGCTCCCTGGCTCTTCTACAAAAGCTAGGTTTCTGATTATAACTTATGAGTTTGAGTTTATAATTCAATGTGAATAAATATGTGTGTGTGTGTGTGTGTGTGTGTGTGTGTGTATAGGATTTTGATTCAAGTCCTGCTTAAGCAGGTGCTGTGCTGCTAACTCATGCCTCCAGCTCTTCTTCTGCTGGTTCTTTATGAAGTAGGGTATTGTTTCTTGTGCTGGAACACAGCATATATCTTAGCTAGGCTAATAGGCTCATTCCACCACACCCACCTTTGAAAGGGTCTTAGAAAGACCTCTTGAAAGGGTCTGAGAAAGGGTCTTAGGAAATTTTCTGTCTTGGCTGTCTTAAGCCACACTCATCTTAATGTTAGCCTCTTAAGCAATTAGAATTACAAACATGAGCCACTGGTGTCAGGCTATGTATTAACATTGAAGGGTAAGCCTACTCCAGAGCTGGGCAGCTTTTCAACATACATATAAAGCTATTTTTCCATGGTTCAATTACTTATTGCTATGTAACAAACAACATCTCAAGATTCTGTGGGTTAGCTGTTCAGATGGGAAGTTCTGATAGTAGCTAGGGTGACTTTTGCAATACATTCATTTAGAAGCTTATCTGGGATTGTGTCAGCTTTCAGTCCTTATACAAAAATACTATAGATAATCTAGCAATAAAAAAAATAAGCCCTGCTTTCACTGTATTTGATGATGATATAATTTGTGGAGGGGAAGGGAAAAAACAAACTGTTTAAATAGGGATACAGGTGGACCCACTACAACAATGAGATGTATAAGATGTTATGTCAAAAAACGAACTTTACAACCTTGCGGGGGGGGGGGGGGGGGGGGGGGGTTGGGTTTGTAAGGGAGTGGGGGAGGGGGGAGAATGGTAGGGGGGGTGGAGAGGGGAAGGGATGATATGGGTAAACAAAGGAGGAGGCAACACTGCTTGATAAGAAATGTACTCATTACCTTGCCCATGTAATTGTAACCCCTCTGTATGGTATTTTCACAAAAATAATAAAAAAATCTGATTTTAGCAACGTGTTCTTGAGGTTGACGTCTATGATCTGTTGGCTATGACATGACACTGCATTGTGGTGGGAGCACATGGTGGATGAAACTGCACATTCCATAGAGACGGAAACGACAGAGCGACGCAGCGGGGGTCTCAATAACCCTTCGCCAACACGTGCCTCCTAACCTAACCTCCACCCCTAGGGCTTACCACTTAAGAAGTCCAACACTTTTCAACAATGTCTAGGGATGGCAAGTAAGACTATAATGTGTGGAAGTTATTTACCCAAACTGTAACAAGCTGGAAGGTGCAAGATGACTTTTCTCACATCTGGTGTCTCCGCAGACAAGTGTGATTAGAAGGGCTTGAGGACTGTACTCCCCTCAGCCTTCCCCCAGCACCTACACTTTCTCTATGTAGTGTCTCATCATCCAATCCCATAACATCTGAGTTGCCTTATGTGATTAGTAGATCCTAACAGTGAAAATGAGTACAATAAAGCTTAAGACCTAAGAAGCCACAGGGTTCCAACTCCACAACAGCCTATTGCTTAAAACAAATCCTAGGATCAGCTAAGACTCAAGAGGGTAGGTATAAAGGAATCACTTACTGTTGGGAAAAGTAACATAAACATGTACAATTGGGAGGAATTGTTGTTGGCCATAGTTATATACCATGTACAATTCCAGATACCAAAAAATGATTCCAACAGAAGCCAAATAAAATTCAGAGCTTTAAAAAATACATTTTATATTTAACATTATTGTATAATTCTTCAATGGAAAATAGTACAGATTAAAGTTTTATATCAGGCTCTGTACTCATTGAAGAATGTTTTCAAGCAAGTAAGAGATGGGCTTTGAAAACAGTCATATGGGCATGAATCTTGGCTGTTAGGTCCGAACAGTAGGTCTCTGGGAACACTCCTTTCTAAATCTTCCTTTCTCTCTTCTATATATGGAATTATGCTGATTCAATGAGTATATAAAGTTCTTAGACTAAGTTCCTTGCATATAGTAAGTATATAAAACATTAGTTTAAAATTGTAAACTCTTACTTTAGCTGTTATTATAATAGCCTGGTAATACTAGATAGTTTTAAACCTCTTGAACTCATAAAGTTCTCTGTATTCTCAATTTTCCTTGCCCTCTAATAAATAAAATTAAGAAATTATGTTTGTTCTCAGAGATGGAATGATAGGAGCTCTAAAGAAGTACTTTATCAAATTTTAAAAACATCAACCCCTATGAAGTTATACGTCATATTGGTATTCAGTTACTCACAGAGCCTGGCACATGTTTTAAGAACGGTGTTGATCTCCTGGTCGTGCCATGAACTTTTCTTTGTCCTACAGAAAGTTGATTGGGCTAAGGTTTAATTCCATTACTTACCAAAGAAAAGACTCTAAATTAAACCTTATTGTCCACAGGAAACAATATCAAATAAACTATGCTAGGAGCAAAAAGAGTTTCAGGTATGGGGCTGTCAGAGCACCACAAGTGCAATTTCCACACAATCCTAGTGGGTTATAGAGCAGAAAGCTCTCTCTCTCTTGTGGTCATGGTCAGACTGACCTCACTATTCAATTATGCTTCATAAATTATTTCAGTGAAATGTAGAGACTTCAGGAAACATGTGTGCAATAAGCATGGAGGGTTTTGTTTTTTGTTTGTTGTTATTTTGCTAGTTCTGGGGTTGGAACACAGGGCCTCACACATGCAGGGCAATGCACCTACCCACTCCCCCAACCCATCACTGTTTTGTTTTTGTTTACCACGATAAATAAAGCATTTTCTTGTTTGGAGTGACCTGGAGATAGCCCAACTTCATTACTTACTATTTTATACTTTGAGCAAATAACTTAACTGCAGTTTGGGACTTTTGATTTGGTAAAGTAATACAAAACTAACACTAAGTTCCGAGTATGAACACTTGCATTAAGGCGTAAGGTGAGAGCACTTGCACTAAGGCAGCACCAAGTGGCACACAGAGGGGACTTTGGTTTCATCCCCAGTTGGGAATCACAAACTCCAAATTTCATCAGTATTATTTAGGTTGTGAATCATAGAGCTTTTGGAGTAAAGGTGAGATTTGGTAGAATAATGTAACCGCACCAGCAGTTAATGGTTATTAATTATTCTGAAAAGTGGTTGTGAGTTATGAATAATTTTGTGTTCTCAGGTTTTGTACAGTAAAAGTTGAATTAATTTCCCAGTAAATCAACACAGTCTTGGAACAACGTCCTAAGGGGGAGGGGAAGGGCACTTGTTTGATTAGTCAGATATAAAACGCCTTCTGGGGTTATACATGAAAGGTTATCAAAGTGATTGTAACGTCCGGGACTCGCAGGATTTCCGTGATTAGTTACCTGGGTTTTGGAGGCTAGGAGACATTTCCTCAGGTGCTAGGTTGGTGGCATGCCCTGACTGCTGGGTTTCTAGTATTTGCTGGTCGTCTTAAAGTCTCTGCCTTTAAGGTGGGCTCGTGTGAATGGGAAAGTGGGAAGCCGGGTCATCATCTTCCCCTCCCCCGGGTGCCACCCGGCCACCCAGCCACCCACTGCCAACGTGGCAGCTCCCACGTGGCAAGTGCAGCTACAGCGACGCGGGGCGCGCGGCGTGGGCGGGGCGTGCGGCGCGGGCGGGGTCTGGGCGTGGCTTCCCAGCCCCGCCCCCTCGGCCCTCAGGCCTCTCCCGCTTGCCTCCCGCCTGCCAGCCCGTCCGCTCGGTCCTCCACCGCCAGGGGGCGGGCGCGGCTTCCCGGTGGTCGGGGCCCCATTGGTCGCGGCCGGGCAAGCGTGGGAGGAGGCCCGCAGGGCGAGCTGGCTTCCTCCGGGCCGGTAGCGGGGTGAAGGGGAGCCTCCGAGGCGCGAGCTGGAGGTGGCCGTGGCTCCCGTCAGCCTCCGGCAAGACTGATCGCGGGGAGGCGGAAAGGCGGGCGGGAGGCCGGTGAGACGCGCGGGGAGAGCGGTGGCCGAGGGTCGGGGGGGGGGGGGGGACGGAGGGAGGCAGGGCCACCCAGACCCCCACCTTCCGCCTCAGCGCCGGGCTCCCGGGGGCTCCCGCGGCTCCCCGAGCTCGCTAGCCGGGGGCGCGTCCGCAGCTGCCCCGGGCCCGGGTCGTGGGGAGCCTGGGTCCCCCGGCGCCGCCCCGAGCATCCCGGGCCGGCGGGCCGGTCGCCTGCCGGATGGGCGGAGGGCGGGGCGGCGTCTGCGCCGGGCGGGCGGGCGGTGGGCGCCGCGCCGCCGGGTCCGCCGGGTCCGCCGGGCTCCCGGGCGGGCGCCCTTCGTCAGCCCGGCGCTGCAGATGCAGATCCGGGGCGGCGTTCTTGTGATCTGGGGCGGGAGGGAGGCGGGGATGCACCTGGGCGCTGTGCTTGGACGAGTCTGGACTCCGCTTGTGAAGTTTGGAGGTTGCTTTTCCTTCTAACAGAGGAGCCCTGGCCGATCCGTGCGTGCGCCGGTCCTGCTGGCTGCTGCTGCTGCCGCTGCTGTTTGTGTGTTTATTCTCTTATTTCTTGGCATTTTGTTTTTGCTACTGTATCCACACCTCCGGGTGTGCCTGGTGATTCCTGCTCGTCTCCCTGAGTAGTGTTGATGATTTGAAATTGACATCTCCAGCTATGACTTGTTTGGGGGTGGGGGGATTCTTTACCCCCCACTAAATTATAGGACTCCACTCTTAGTTCATAAGATCATGGGATCTGTTCTTAGGTTTTTGGATTTTTTTTCTTTTTAGAATATAGATAGGATGTCACTACCACTTGTTTACTATATCCTGGGCACAGGCTTTCCTATATAAGTGTATTTCTCATAACTCATTGGATGAGGCTCTCTATCTACTTTTCTCGTTTTGCACTTGCAAATATGAACTCTCAAGCACTTGTGAACACTTTGCGGGACTCGTGTGACGCGGTTAAAATCCAGTGCCTTCCAGAATTCAGACACGGCCATTTAACTAATAAAATAGAAGTTAATAACTCACCGAATGCCATTTAACAGGAAATGAGCAGAATTGGCAAAGCAGCATCTGGCTTTGGTGATAGCGCTGACCTGCACCTTTCTGGAGATTGCCAGTCTGAATTTTCCATCTGTTCACGAGTTAAAGTCAGTTGATTTAGGTTTATACAGGTATTATTAGGAGCTTTGTTTCATAGATTTTTACTGTCTCTCAACTCTTGAAAGACAAGTATTTCTTGATGGGAAGAAATAAAAGGTGTAGAAAGGCAACAGGAAAGTTTCCTTGTGGCAATAAAGTATCTTGACTGTTGGTGGATACAGAACCATCACTCAAAAGGTCAGATCTCTTAGTCCAGAATCAACTCTTTACCTCCCCCCCCCCCCAAATGATTACAAGACCACAGTTTGATTTTTGATGTGTTTATTCCTTAGTGGACTTGTTTGCTATGGGAGAGTTATATGAATATCTCAATCTTAATGATTTTCATAAGAAAATCATAAGGAAGTAGTATACTATCAGGTGTGCTAACTTAAGGATATTGTTACCTGTAGTTTATTGTCATTAACTGGTCAGTTGAAATGAGCTTAATTGTTGCAGTTGGTGTGTTTTCAGAAAACTTTATCTTAGAAAACTCTTTTCTGTGCAAATGTCTGCTAACCTGTGTGTGTGTGTGTGTGTGTGTGTGTGTGTGTTTTAGAAATACCATATTAAGGGCTGGGAAGATGGCTCAGTGGTAGAGCGCTTGCCTAGCATTCATGAGGCCATGGGTTCGATTCCTCAGCACCACATAAGCAGAAAAAAAAGACCGGAAGTGGCGCTGTGGCTCAAGTGGTAGAGCACTCGCCTTGAGCTGAAGAGCTGAGGGACAGTGCCCAGGCCCAGAGTTCAGGCCCCATGACCGGACCCCCCCCCCCCCCAAAAAAGAAAAAAGAAATACCATATTAATACTGTGTTTCATTCAGGGCCTTTAAGCAGTGGAAAGCACTCAACTTCTCTTTTTTTCTGCCGAAGGTTTCACAGAGAGAATTGTGTCTATCTTGGTGCAATTCAGTTTTGCAGATTAAAGACCGTGTAAGGAGTGGCTTTGTTGGAGAATTCTTAAAACATAGGATAGGAAACTGGTATAAGTAAAGTAGTTATAGGTAATGAGATTAGCCTTCTCTAATCTTTTTGTAAAGTTTACAAGATAGATACTGCATGGCCCTATAATTAAAAATTTGTTTTTCTTTCTGTCATTATTCTTGACAATATTTATTTCTGTCTTCCTACCTGCCCACAGATCTACCCCTGCTCCAAAGGATTTACTGCAGGATTAAGGTAGTTTAGAAACAACTGTAGAAATCTGAAAGAGCAGGCAAAACCTGTCATTTTTGTAGGTTTCTGTCTTGTTTTATGGTTTAGATTATGTTTATGCTCTGGGTTATAGGAATCTAATCACCATTTAATTTCTTAAACTGGTTTATGACTTTATAAGCAAACTTCTGCTTTGGTAGAGTAAAAGAACTGCAAGAAAATAGCTGGATAATTTAAAATCTAGTCGTCTGTTTTACCATTGCACACAAGAGTTCTTTTTCCCCATTCCTCACCACATTGTCTCCAGGCTTACTCATCTCAGAGGGGACCTGGCCTGGAGACAGGGTGAAAAGAAGGAAAATTCTTGTCATATGAATTTTCTTTTCCTCTTCTTCCTCTTCCTCCTCCCCCCTCCTCCTCCTCTTCTTCTTCTTCTTCTTCCTCCTCCTCCTTTTCCTCTTCTTCTTCTTCCTCCTCCTCCTCTTCTTCCTCCCTTTGGTTCCCCTTAAAATTTTCAGTATATTTGAATTGGCTTGATGTAGCTCTGAAATTCTTACAGCTGAGCCTGAATGAGTATAACCTGGGAAGCGTTTTAACTTTGCTAGAGTTTTCATCCCCATTCCTTGTGATTTCTCTCTCTCCAAGTCTGGGAATTTGCATTTTAAAGAGCACTTTGGAAATTCTGGTTGCCATGATGTGGGCATTTCTGCAGTTGGGCTTTTTGGAGTGTTGTTTTCACTGAATCTGGGAAGCCATCATTTGTAAAGTACACCATTAGTTTATATTGTACTGGGGAAACATGGTTGCAAGCCTCACTTCAGTTTAGAGGTGTTGCTAGGGGAAGTAGTGTGCCCTGAAATCAATAGTGCATGGTTTTAGCTGTCTGTGAGCCAAAGTGACTCCTCAGTTATATTAAAGGATTATTTTAAGAAACAGGATATAAGATAATAAATTATATCAGCATTTCTTCAGGGTTTTTTAAAATTATTATTTAAAACACATCTAAAACAGTTTTATAAGGTGTCCTCACTGGACATCTATGCATAAATAATGTTCTGATGATCTGGCTTTAAGGTGCAGCTCAGACACTCCTGTCTGGCCTCATGACCTTCAGACTCACTTCTAGTCATTGACACATTGTTCAGAAGTTTAGAAGTCATGAGTCCACCGAAGTGTCTTAGTTAATGCCACATTGTGACATCGGGTGACCAATCAGGTGAGTCATGATCATTTGATTTCTGGTTTTCTTTTCGCCTTTGTTCAGTCAGAGCATTGATAGCCATTATATGGCCAGCTAGCTGACTATACACATATACACCAACTACACACATCTTTCCTTGATTGATAAGTAGTTGTAGGATATAGCAGTAACAAAGGTAAGAATTAGTCTGTGTCAGAGTACACAAAGTGCTCTCTTTGCCAACTCAAAAGCTTTGGTGGCATTTGGTGTGTTCTGTAAGAGTATAGCTTAGAACAAATCTTTCCCCCTTGGTGAAACTTCAGTAAGAAGCAACCTTAGCTGCTTGTGCTGTGCTGTGTGTCCTTCCATTGTGGAGAAAGTTGCTTAGCTGGTTTAGATTTCCCAGGAAGGAGCAGAACACGGGTACATTTCTCTTTTTAATCCCTTAAGCTGTTTTTGGGAAACGTGGTTGAATGATTGTTGATCATCTGGAATCTTTTAGAAATTGGATATCTCACTGTTTGTGGGGGTGGGGGGACAGTGGAAAGAGGGACCAATTCACATGGCGTGGAGAAATTGTACTGTGGAATTTTTGACCAGGGGTGACTGGTGTTAGATGTGTGTGGTCTGTCAGGTCTGGCCACTTCTCCACTAGGCCTTAGTAACAAAGTTGGTCTTACCTAGCAACTTCCTGGACTGAGTGGTATTCCCTAACCTGTTTAGAGATGGAGGGACAGTGGCTGCAATTGTCGATTTTCCCTGATCTGTTGGAGAGCAGAGAGCAGCTTTCTGGAGGATTAGTCTCTACTAAGAAGAAGCAGATGATGTTAGGTAAAACAATTTTCATTCTGTATGGAGAAAAGCAAAATTTTCCCAGTGTAATTGCAATCTGTCTCACATCTATTGTTGGTTAACAAGACTCCATGGTGGGGGAGGGATGGGGGAGGTTGGAAACACTTTCTGCTCATTTATACTTTCCACAGTATGTTTTTAGTTGTGTTTTGGTGTCTTAGCCACATTTAGATACATTCATGTTCTAGTGATTAGACTCAGAGCCCTGTGCTAAGCAAGCTTTCTACCACATAAGCCATATCCCCTTTCACATAAAGTTTTTTGTTGTTTTTTTTGTCTGTTGTGGGGCCTGAACTCTGGGCCTGGGTGCTGTCCCTGACCTTTTCAGCTCAAGGCTAGTGCTCTACCACTTGAGCCAGAGCGCCACTTCCGGTTTTTTCTGCTTATGTGGTGCTGAGGAATTGAACCCAGGGCCTCTTACATGCAAGGCAAGCGCTCAACCACTGAGCCACTAGGTCTCACACTTTCTGAGGCTGGCCTTAGACTGCAGTACTACCTCCCTCAACATACATACATACATATATATATATATGCATATATATATCTGTGTGAATGTATGTGTATATATACATATATACACATACATATACATGTATATATTTTTGTGTATGTGTATATATACTATCAACCTAGATATCAGTGGCTCACACCTATAATCCTGACT